CCCCCCCCCCCCCCCCCCCCCCCCGTGTAACATTCGGCCACAATCCCACACTGACGTTGTCGTCCCCCCCGCCATCAGGCAATTTGCATGCCCGGTGGAGGGGCCGCGATGCATTATTCAGGTTTGGGGTGCGGACGGCGGAAGAACACAATGGTGGACGATCCATCCGCCTTAGAAGGCAGCATTAAAAAGAGACTCTTCCATTGTGCCGCGTTGGGGGGTGGGGGGGCCGTACACTCAAGTGCATTATCGTCCTGCATCTTTACGTGCATCTCGATGCGCTCATGCTTTTTCAATTAGGGCCACTTAAGAGCGACGACGGCGTCTGGACAGGCCGGCCTCGTCCATCCAAGGCGGACCACAGGGGAGAGAACGGGCCGACCCAGGCATTTGTGGGAGGAACCTTCCACGCAGTGCCGTCTGCCGTGTCATCCGAAGTCCGAAGAAGCCCAGCATGCCTGGGCTGTCGGGATTGTGGATCTGACCCATTAGGTGGTGGGTATTGGCCGTTTGCCTGCTTTGACCGTATCTCCAGCCTGATCGACCAAAGCCTCCCCCCCATCAGATAAAGAGCCTCTTCCCTAAATGGAACGGTGCTAAAAAAGCATCAATACATTGGTTTCTGCTGGTGACCTGGGGTTTCACAGGGGGTGAGCTGGTGATCTTCACGGACCAGGGGGATGGTGCTGAGGGCGAATGGTATCCAACCCCTGGATGGCCACCTGCCCGCTGGGTACGTCTGGAGAAGTGACGGGGGTGGGGGGAGGGGGGAGTTTAATCCCACGGGGGGCCGACGATCGAAACGAACCAAACAACCCAAAGCGGGCCATAGCGCCAGTGGCCCGCGCTCGCCCGTCCAGCCCCCTCCGGCGCGAGCCGAGCGCTGGGCCGCCCGCTCGTTCCGACTCGTCGATCCCGGCACAGGGTCTCCAGCGAGGAAGAGCTGTGCGATATTCTCAGTGCCGGGCTCTCTAGCCCTCATTACTGCCTCGTGCAATTATGTTAACATTATTGCACAGATCGAGAGGAGGGTCCCCAGATATATTAAATAATGAAAAATTCCTCCTATATCTGGGTTATAAATCATTATGCAAATTCCGGCGGTTCTCCTTGGAATTGCGGTAAATAAAGGTGTGGAAATACAAATGATGTGCTCTGATTGCCTCTTCCTGTTTGCCCCCGTTGTTTATACAGCGGCGGGCGGCGATAATTAGCCCAATTTTCCCTCTATGATGAGGAGGCGCCCAGGAAAGTATGGTGGGAGCGTTATGGATGCCCCCCCTGCCGGCTGCTGTATCCCGCTGCCATTCTGAAGGGGGCGCTGTTCTCGCGTCGGCTGCACACCTGGACTCCCAACACCTGGCGCTGGGAGGTGTGAGAGCAAACATGCTCACTCACAGGGATCTCACACACACACACACACACACACACACACACACACACACACATAAACAGCCTTCACCCACCTGAAGCTACATGCGACTTCCAATAAACAGACAGAGGAATCCAGGGTTTGTTTGACTTTGATGTAATTCTAGCAATACTGGTGACACCCCATTGGCATGACAACGGGCGTGACATCGAACACACGTCACATCCGCTCTGTCTCTACCGCCAGCTTTCCCGCCATACCCTCAGCGGCGGGAAAGCGGATTAGCCACCCCCCCCACGGCCATAGACCGGGTCCCCTTCCAGAGGGGGCCGCCTTCGGCCTTCCCCAGTACGGTTAACCAGCCCCGTGGCGTTCGGTACTGGGGTCACCTGCAGTCTCGATATTACTGCTGTAAAAGAATTAGGCAGAAACGAGAAGAAGAACAGAAAGAGAAAAGGCGCTCTTCCTGATATTTATCTTTCTCAATTTATTTTATGGCTTTTCAGGACCTGTGCCAGGGCATCAGGAGGGGAGTCGCTTCTTGTAAGTAAATTACAGTAAAACGGCAGGTATTTCCCATCAAAATCTAAACTGACTTTTACAGGCTTACTGTCAAGGTCTATTACTTCATGCAAAAAAGCAGAGCAGCCAGTTTAAGTTTATTTTTCAGGCAATTTTACACCTGGGTTCAAAACAGGGAAAACAGGGCTCAATAGCAGATTTATGTTTATGTGGAGGAGGGGAGGTTGGATAGGAATGGGGGTTGGGGGGGGTGTTATTCAGGTTTCCAGGATGGATGGCGACCCCGTTTTAATTTGGACCTTGAATTGAAGGATGTCCGTGCATCTAAGTTCAGGTCAGGTGGCTTTTATTTTATTTTTTTGGGGGGGGGGGGGGGTAGAAGGTGACAGGAGATGGAAGGGTACATTCTTTTATTGAGCTGGAGGTGATGCCAATTATGATGGTTGAGACCAATTGAGAGGGAGGAAGATGAGGAAGAGGATAGAGGGGAGATCAGCATATAAGGGCCGATGGACGAGGAAGAAATGCCCCACGCGTTTGTTTACAGGTGTAAGCCGATATCTTGCCCTTCACTCTGCCCCTGCGGCGGGAACAGCTACAATCGCTAATATGCCCCCCCCCCCCCCGTGCAGGCAGCGGAGAGCAACTCGCATTCCCTGCGTTTACCCGGGCCTCAGCCTGGAAGCGCCGCAGCGCAGGGATCCTGACGGCACAAGAGCGCTGCGAGTATTTCCGTCCCCGGCTGAAATGTCGCGACCCAAGTCACCCCGAGCGACTCTGGCCCCCCTGCACCGGTTGAAGCCTCACCTCCACGTGTTTACCGCTCTGGTTGCCATAGGAACAGGGAGTGCCGATCGCCGCTGGGATATTTCGAAAGAGACCCACAAATTTATTTTTGCTTTTTGGATATCCCCAAAATATGCCTCACAGCACAAAACTAACACAAATACGTTGGCTGATATCAATTCCGCTTAAAAAAAATTTATGAAGCGCTTCAGGGGTTAAATCGTCACTAACGATTTTTACCGAGGGTTCTAGCAGCGCTCCGGTAACGAAAGCGGGGGCCCTGGAACACCAAGCCCCGGGCGGCTGGCAGAAAGGGCCCTTTGTGGAGCTCAATGCCAGGCCGAGCCTAATTGATTAAAACGAAGTGGCCAATTAAATGCGGCCTCTCTTTCTTTGTTCTCGTTAAGGATGCCGCCTCACATTTACGGCCTCGTCGGCCTCATTATTTACTTTATTAATCAGCTCTCCACCCCCCCTTTCTAATCCAAGAGTGCCATTTTCCTGTACTAGCCATCATCATTTAATTGATTTATTTATTTATTTTTTATGTAGCGCTCCCCCCCCCCCAAAAAAAACCCCTGTTCTCCGCTTTTCTTGTGACTGGCTACTATCTCTGATTATTATTCCATTAAGTCTTCCCATTTGAAAGACCAGCTGGATCCCTCTCCAATCTAAAGAAGTCCTCCAGTTCTCCAAGCCCCCCCCCCCCCCTTCCCTGAAATTACCCCGGCGACGCGTGCCTGAGTTTCTAATTGGCATCCCTCTCCCGGGGGACGCCCCCCCTCCCCCCTCCCCTCTTCCTAATGAAAAGCCTTCGCCTTAATTACACTTTCCAAACGCTGATTGTTATTGACAAAACTCCTGTGGCTCGGACAAACGCCGGCAGATTAGGTCCATTACAGCCGGCCCACCGAGGGGGGTGGGGGGGTAGCGGGCCTCGAGATCGACAATGCGAGGCGGCCCAGGACCGGCTCTCCCCCCACTTCCCTTGCTAGCGTCCCCCCTCCTTAATTGTTCCGGGCTCGTGTTCCACTTATGACGCCTCGTTCCCGTGACCGGGGGCCAGAGCGCGGGGCTCGCTGCTCTTTTTGAAGCGTGGTGGGCAAAGCTGGCGGGGGAGGCTGTGCGCTGCGCCTCCGCACGGCGGGAGAAGGGTTAAATCTCCATTTCCCTTTTTAGGCTTTTAAAACACGTTTCTAATATGTCACATCCACACTGGGATTTAAACAGACATACTTCCCGGTAGATTAAACTGGACCAATTTGCATTAATCCAGAATGGGATGGTCATGTGACATCCGAAATAAACTAAATCTGAGAAATAAGCTACACAATCCCTTAAATAACATGTTCTGCCTGTTTTATAGCCTTTGTATCATTAACTATCTCTTTTTGAGGATTTTAAACACAATTCCATCTGGCAGGAAGGGACTGCAAACCAAAGCCATATGTTTCTTTACACTGTAATACAGTAAATTTCATTCGTACACCAAACGCTCTCCCTGTACCTCATTGTCCCAAAGCGAGAAACCCGTCCCTCGTTTTCACCGCCATCATTCATACGCTCCTGTTGCTACGGCCGCGGATGTACAGACTGGGAAAGACAGACTGGGAATGACAGAGCTGGGACGTCGCCTGTTAGCGGCGCGACACGGAACGATAAATATTAGCATGAAAATCAGCACCCTGAGTGGCGCGGGGGTGTGGGGGCCACACGCACTTTCTGTGGTCGGGGCAGGGGGCGTGTACGCTGTGTGGGGGGAAATACCTTGTATCGTCCTTTTGAAAAAGGCTTTGCAGGCCTCACAAGAAGCCACGCCATAGTGATATCCCGAGGCTATATCTCCACAGACCAGACACAGCCTTTTGGGGATGGAGTTCAACATGTATTCGCACTTAATGGGCGAGTCCTCCATGATGGTGCTGGAGCAGTCGTCATAGCGCTTACGGCAGGCTCCGCCCCCCAGGCCTCCGGGCGTGAACATGGGCGGCGAGTCCAGGCCGTTGGGGTGGCTGTTCATGGTGCCGGCGTAGCCGCCGCTGGCATCCGAGTTGCCGCTGGGGCTGTGGTGGCTGACCGTGTCGATGATGGAGGAGGGGCTCGACGGCTCAGTCTTGATGTAGGACCCACAGCTGGAGGCCAGATGCCGGTCATCTGTGGCCATTCTATTCAGCAGCCTGCGGGGGTGGGGGGGGGGGGGGGGTGGTGGGAAGCAGCAGAGACAAATGTGAAGAAGGGTCCTCTGGGAGGGGGATCAGCATCAGCCTGCTGTTCACACCAAGCATATCGGTCTCACCCCCTGCCAAACCGCTCTTTAACCTAAACAGAAGGTTGAGCAGTAGACGATTTTCGGAACCGGCTTTTGAACCCTTGAACCATTTCATCAGCTGCACGAATGCACAAAATAAACGTTACATTTTAAGCACTTCATAGGCATATTAATGATAAATATAACTATAAATATTGACGGGACCCTGCAGAGGCTACAGAGCGTCAGCAGGACCTTTCGGTGGCTAAGAGGCTAAGAGGCTAAGGGGGGACGCACCAGGAGTTGTAATGGTTCCCAGCACCTTTTAGCAGCTGCAAATAGGCAGGCAAACTACTAACGGGCCCCTTTCATAGCTACAGTACCACAGAGTCAACATGCTATCGAGGTTAGCGGACAAAGCACCGGTAGCGGCGTCATCTAGCGGCTCTAGTAAGACCCTCTGCACAAGCGCCACACTGATAACTATAAGAACACTTTGAACGCCTCAGAAACTGCCCCTACGAGTCACACTGGAGCTTGAAGGATTCTGACGGAGCGATATTGACGTTTATGGCGTTTGGATGGTGGTATCGAGCGCTTCCCGCACGCCACCGCTCAGCCAAACCGAGCTTTCATGCAGCACAGACTGACACTCACGGTCTCACAAAGCTCTCTCAGAAGGTTACTCGACAGTGTGAAAAGCGGAGGCAACGGGCGACATATTCGCACTCGCGGTGACCTGCTGGGTTTGCGCAGCCAAGACCGGGTCTGCCCCCCCCTGGGACAAAGGTCAGGCGTCGCCCTCCTGCATTAGCGGAATTGGATTCGCTGGATTTGTGTAAATTCCAAAACAAGAGTTTCAAACCTACGTTACAAGGCCTACGGCTCACAGGGAGCATTGTGGGTAATTTAACACATCATGGACACCTTCGCCGGAATCAGTCGTATTTTAAAAAAGAGAGGGGTGTGATTTTCTGCAGCCCCCTCCACAGCCACCCCCCCCCCCCCTCAACGTGGACAGATTTAATTGTGAGAGTGAGGGGGTGGGGGGCAGGATCAGGTCACCAGGTCAGACTTATTTCCTCACCCCCAGCTCCCAGCCGCCACGTAGACAGGGTCACTGTGTCACATTAAATCTCATGACCGGCTTTCCCTCCTGTCTGTCATGTATATTCATCGCCGTTCCGAGGGCCCCGTACCTCTGGAAATTCACAAAAAGGTTAACAGCCAAAATAAATAATAAAAAGAGCCCCCCCTTGAAGTCATTGACCTTGTGGAAGAGACCTACTCTCCACCCACCCCCCCCATGCCACCCAGCTTTATATGTTGCTACTAGGATTTTGTTCACATTCATGTTTTCTTATGATTAAGCTTTGAAATGTTGAACTGTGGCAGTTATAATCAATTACTGTAAGTCTGTGGGAAAAAACAAGACCAAAATAACCTTTTACATGCTCACGCATATCATTCTGAATGAAATGAGGGCAGAAAGTAATATTAAAATAAAACTATATTTCTTATTGATCTGTCTCACCTCCGTACAGGAATACCAGCATCAGAGAGTCCACCCCAAGCGTGGCTATGAAGCACGCCTCGCATTTCCCCTGCAATCACGCGCTGAAGCCTGCATGGCTCCCCTCCGAACTCTGGGGTCAGCGGGTAGCCCTCCGTGCTCTGGGGGGCGGCAGGTAGCCCTCCACGGTCTGGGGGGCGGCGGGTAGCCCTCCGAACTCTGGGGCGATTCCCTTCCTTCATGCAGGCTTCCGAGACCTGGCTGGTCCTGGGTGACGCCAAGCAAAAATGATGCTGGGGCTGTTTTCACTTCTTGACACTTTTGCTTGTCACTTCCCCTTCCCAGCTTAGGGGTCACAGTCCCTGTTCCACTCAACATAATTGTCCCCCGAAGCCAAAAAGCACCTTCCTTTTCCAACATTAAGCACTTCCCCTCCATCTCTGTCCGGGTCTCGTACGTGGTGCTGATACCCTGCGTCACCACAAGCTCATCGCTGTGTCATGACAATAAGCATAAGGTGAAATTACTACTGCAGTGCTGAATATCCAGTGCAATCCTTATTCACTGTCTATTTTTATTTACACCATCCAAAAGCATTAATGCAGTAATATGGCTAACAGCTTACATCTGGCTTTATGTGTCTTTCATAGAAAGTTTCAGCCGAGCGGCTGCCTGTATATAACTCTCACCTCGCGGATGCCCTTTTTGGTTCCCCAGCTCGGGTCGGGCCGCTGGGGGATTAAGCCCCCCCGGCTCCCTCAGCGACGATCAGAATTCATGGGGTGTGCTGGGCAGTGTGGCTGGGCAGAGCAGCGCCCGGTTCATCTTTAATCTGATTTCGGCTGGCCTTCCTAACCACATTTCATCCCCTAATGTCATTCCACCCCCTCAGCCGTCACCCGGATTAGCCGTCCTAATGATCTCCGAGCCCCGGGACCCGCCGCGCCCCCCCAGTCCCCCTCTGCCAGCGTCGCCGCACCGCACGCCCGCCGGAACCTTCCTGGGCCGGCCTGGCTAGCTGACCCATCTCGGACAGCCAGAATGTGCGATCTCTGACTGTCCCTGTGCTTTTTGTTCACACAGCAAATTGGGACCCGTCATTAACCAATCAGCAGCTGAGGGAGATTTGTGGCAACCAATTGGAGAGTGCTCTGTCGTGTGGCAAGATAGATCCGATGGAGCGGGTCCTTAAACTTTGCTGGGTTAGGACCCCCCAAAGGGGGGGGGGGGAGCCCTCCAGTTAATAGCTGCTCTGGGGGCCACCGATGTATACCCTCTGTACAGGATGAGGTCCCTAGGCTGGGCTGATATCAGATCCCGACGTGGGGGGGATGGAAGGGTGGGGGGTGCTGAGATGTCCCTTATAAACCCTCAGCCCCAAGGGCGGGAGAGGGGGGAACTCAATTAACTCCTGACAGCCCCCCCCCCCCCATCGCCACTGTCATCAGCTCCCAAAAATCTCATGCTGACACCAGCAGCCATCACATGTGCCCCCCCCCCGTCACACGTCAGCTGGGTCGATTAAAGTGGGCAAAACTGTGGCCCACTGTGCTAATAACAA